AATAGGATCTCGGAGTAATTGAATGATTTGTTTAGTATTGATGAGTTTGCTATGAGTAATTGTCTGAGGATGAATTTGGTAAGGTGTATTTTGAGATCATTGGTCATAACCTGATTCTAGATATTGTTGGTAGAACTCAGTATCTTTTTTATATTTTTGCCGATGGGGATCAGTGGAATGTTTGTATTCAATTTCATTATGCCAACCATTAATAGCCTTACATAACTCCTCGGCAGTAGGTCTTTGTTGAGGATTAGCGTCTCAACACTTTTTAATAAAGTCTTTTAATTCTTGAGGTATTGGTAGTTTAGTTAAATTAGGTCTTAAGCCTTGACATATTCCGGTAGATAATTTAATATCATTCCAGCCTGCTTTATATTGTTCATAATAAGGATATGCCTGAGCCAACAATTCATAAGTTATTATGCCAAATGAATAAATATCACTGGCTTGAGTATATTCTTTACCATCTGTTAAAATTACTTCAGGAGCAACGTAGGGCAACACACCAAATATTTCACCATCTTTAGGTTTAGAGTTGGCTGGTCTGCTAAGACCGAGATCAGTAATTTGGTAATCTAATATATTCCCACTATGCAAGTCTCGATGGACTAGGTTTTGATTGTGCATAACATCTAATCCAGAGGCAATATTCCCTAACTTATCAAGTTTATTTAATAAACTCAATCTACTGCCTTTCTTTAAATATTGTCTTAGATTGCCTTCATTTATGTATTGCATTACCATTATGTAGTTCTTATTCTCATCTTGAGAAATGCCATAGCATCAGACAATATAACCGCCATCCTCATCAACTAACTTAGTGTTAGTGATTTCTTGGAGAAATTCTAAGGTAATGTCTTTAGAGTCAGTGAGGGTTTTGAGGACTACTGTTTCATCTTTTTTGCCTCACCTGCCTCCTTTTCAAGTAGCTTTATAAATCTTGCTAAAACCACCATCAGCAAGGTGTTGAATGTTAGTGAATTGTTCATGAGGGATTCATTTTAAGTCCTTGTAATTATCTTTTTGCTGTTGAATAAACTTTTCCGCCAATTCTTGACCACTTGATTGTGCTAAGTCTTGCTCTCAGTCTTTTTCAAAACAGTCTGGACAAATCTTATAACTGTTGTTAGGCTGATTACATTGTTTGCATCAACCATACCTGATGGGTGCCAATTGAGAAGTTATTGGGCTGTCAGAAAAATATTTAATTTCTTCTAAACTTCTAGGTAGTTGATCAATATTCACAGCATTGAAATTAGTATTGTAAATCTTAAGTTCTTTTAATTGTTTTAAATTAACTAAAAATTCATCTAAAGAGCCAGTGAGAGGATTGTCACTTAAATCAAGTCATTCTAAATCCACTAACTGACTTACAAAGGAAAGATCTTGTTGAAGATTGTTGTCAGAACAATTAATTGTCTTTAACTGTAAACAATTGTTTAGATTTAAGTTAGTTAGATAGTTTTCAGAACAATCTAGCTCTTTCAAATTAACAAAATCAGAAAGATCTAGAGATCCAGTGAGTTTTTCGTTATTAAGATTTAATTCAGTTATTGCTTGTCTTTGAGGATAAACAACATCTAAATACTCCTGAGCTGGCGGATTAGCTTTTCAAGTTTGGAATTCTTGTTTTAATTTCTCTAAATCTAGGTCTTTACTAGGTTGATATCCTTTGTATCTTAAATAAACTGCAAATTCATAGTCTTTAATGCTAAAGCCTATAGCCTGATGGTCAGAGTCATTTTTAATTAAAGTATCTAACCAAGATTTAGTTTCTTGAAGAGTGAAATCATGGTTTATTCATTCTAAACCTTTAATTCCTATCTCTACTCAAGGTTTAGCAATAGAAGGATTAAAGCCTTTATTTTTTCATTGTTTAACTTTATCATAATCTCATAGTTTAAAGCCAATGGCTATTCATCCTTGGAATTGCTGAATATCACCTATTTGTTTTCAACTTTTAACTTCTCTATAATTTCCTGGTATAAAGCCAACTGATAACCAGTCTTGAGCATCTTGATAGGTTAAGTTATTTTCTTCTCAGTGGTGTTGGTAGGTTTCATCACTTCAAAATGGGCTTTTTTCAGCAAAATCAGGATGGAGCACAGCTCATTGGTCATTTAAGTATTCTTGTTTTAACTGTGCTTTTTCAGTTGATTGGAAGAGTTTGTGTTCTTTTTGTCATGACTCTCTTTTCTCTTCATTAGGTATGTAATTATTCTCTAATCATTTAGCAAACTGAGCTTCAGCAGGATTAAAACCTACTTTTATTCAGTCTTGAGCTTTTTGGTAAGCTATTGTTCCATTTCAAAAGAATTTAATCCATTCTTGTTTTAGTTCTTGGGTAAAATTAGGATGGATTGTTTGCTGTCACCATTCTAGTTTTAAACTGTTTAAATTACCTTTAACTTGTTCAGGAGTTAAATGCTTGGTATCTCTTAATCAAGTGCAAAAAACTCAATCGTATTTAGGATTAAAGTTTTCTAAAACATCAGCCCATTGTTTAGTTTGTTCATAAGTAAAGTTGTGGTTGGTTCAAT